ATTTATAAATTTGAAGAATTGGAAATTTCATGACAGGGCACGCCTTTTACGGGTACTTGTTTTTCCCTTGAATATATTCAGTAAATATTCAAAGACCTCCTTTGGAAGTCTGTAGTAGTTTATAAATCTGTGAATAAAATAAAATGTTTGCAATTAATTTACTAGAAAAAATTTGGCAAATCCAATGGATTAGAGCTGTCGCTAATCTTAAATCTTTCGATCCTTAATTGTTGTTTTTTTTTAATTTCATCACTACCGGAATGAGATGAATTCGTAAACTATAATGCAAATGACATTTTTTATTATTTAAAAATATAAATATATACAGTGAAAATTTTTTTTGTTTGAACTTTACTCGCCGAAATTTCTTTTTAAAATGTATCAATTTCACTTGAAACGTTTCATTTTCGATTATTTCTCGCACTCACGTCACTCCACAACCAGAATACCACATTTCAAATGATGTGACAGCGACAACGACAAATGTCACGTAAGTGACGCGACAACTAGAATAAGGTTCAGTCTTAACGTATACCACTCCGGGATATAGCACCTCCAATAGCACTATCCTACCAAAAAAAAAGAAGTAGTTGAGAGGAAATTAAGGCTCAAATTTAATTTTGGTAGAAAGCTTCACATTCTTTTATTGGGGAAAATAAAGGTCAAATCATTAATAACGAAATTTATGCGATAGTTTTTAGTCCTGTATAATAGGATTTCCATAAAAAATATTAATTCATTTTAAACCTATTTCCAACTCCTCGCAAATCATTTGGAATTTTATTATAATCTTGTTAGAGAGGAACGAACAAATTTTTCTTGTATTATTCGCCTCAATTTATGCAATGTGAAAAATTAATACTCTCATTCTAAAAAAAAAATTGTATGTTAGCTAGTTTCACCAACATTTTTTTAAGAGATCAACTTTGAATTAAAAATAGAAAAAATAAAACTTCCTTGCAATTTTTTTTTTTAATTAAATTTTTCAAACTATTTATTTTTCATTTTTTCCAATATAAGGTGTTTTTTTTTTTTTTTGATTTTTTTTAATCTTTTTTTTATTCAATTTTTTTTTTCCTTTTTACTCTTTTCTCTCTCTCTTTTTTTATTGTAGTTCTATATATATAATATAACATAATATAATTTTGTATAACATACATTTATATATATATATATATATATATATATATGAATTTTTATTATATAATCTCCGTCCACTACTACAATAGAATTTTTTTTTTATTATTGATTTTTTATTTTATTTTTTTTTTATATTGCATACCTTCTTATACAATACAATATAATATGTGTTTATATATATATATATGTTTGTATGTATATGTACTCTATTTAAATTATTTATTTATCTATATTATGTTTTTTTTTTTAAGATTTTTTAAGTTTATTTTTTTTTTAAATTATTGCAATAAAAAAATTAAGTACATTTTGTTTATATAATATTTTTTTTCTCTTGTTTTTCTTTAAAGATTATCAATTTTTATATTTTTATAACTATATATGTTGGTATAATAAGTAGTTGGTATGTATGTATGTATATTAAAATAGCTATTATTATATATAGGTTTTTTTATATTTAATATATAGAGAATTTTTTTTTATATAATATTTAAGAAATTTAAAAACACATAATAATATATTATTAAATTCTGAATTCTTTTTGTTTTTTTATTAAAAAATAAAATAGAAATAAAAGGAAAAATTATTCACAATAATATTTTATGCGAGAAAAAAAAAATTCAAGAACAAGGGGGGAGAAAAACAAAGAATATTATGGAAACACAAGGGAGACAAATTAAATAAAATATTTACAGAGTGTTTTATTAATAATTGCTTAATCGCATAATGAAATTTTTGTTGAAAACTAGATTGAAAATCCTATAATGTTTTCCAAAATGCAAGCAATTTAGAAAAATATGTATAAAACTTTTAATTGTCCATGACTTTTTTTTAGGTTATAACTTCCGATCTATAGGGAAGGTGAAAGTTTTAATCAAAAATATTTTGAAATTGTTAGTAAACACCTTGAAATGAAGTTATGCTTTAGCACTTCTCCAAACAATTTTTGAAGAAGTGCTAAAAAGCAATTACAAGCTTAATTTCATTCAAAGAAAATTTTTTCATTTCCAGTCTCTTGCAAGTTATCGCCACCAGAAATTTGAAAAATATGAATTTTCGGCACTTTAATATAATATTTCCGAAACTGCCGAAAATTTTTCCGAATTTCTATAAATGCGGCTAATGGTAAATTCTATGCTATTGAAAAATATAACTATTTTTTCTTAATTCACTGCAATTAACCCTTAAATTCGAGCATTATGTTAACGCCTCTTTAAATTTTTTTTTTTTTTTTTGCAAAGAAAGCATACAAAGTTCATCCTAAATGTATGCAATCTTAGAAATATGAATGAAAAACCCATTTGTAGATTTGTAGATTTGTGAAACGGGGGCAACAATGAACCGCGGCCACGTATAAGGATCTATTGTGCGCCCCGAGTGTGGGGCATGCCTTACAACCAACGCTCGAGACCCACTCTCCTGATGAACTCAAGCAACTTGTGAGGACCAGAAGACCGTAACTCCGCCACCGTTAGAGCAAAGCTTTCCAGCACCTCCCCCCTCCTACCATGAAAAACCCATAGGTATGAAAGTAATTTTAATAATGTAGTACATAGTTAGATTGTTTTTAAAAGCAGTTTTTTAAATACTTGCTGAAGGAGAAAAGTGCTATATTACAAATCATTGGTTTGACATAACTTTATTTGTAATACATATAATACTTTCGGAATGACAAGCATTCAAATTTTGGAAAAATTCTAATTTTTAATAAAATAATTGCTCTTAAAAGCAAATAATAATTTTAAAAATTGTTTAAAATTGGAAAATAGTCTTAAAATTTTTATTGAAATACCTTAATAGGATTTTATTAATTTTTTTCAAAAAACTGTTTGTTTGACGCTTGTAATTTTTTTTTTAAATATTTTTAGTGACGCTTGTAATTAATTTTTTTTGTATATTTTAAGAGAAAAAAAAACATGGGCAATTAGAAATTTAAAAACAATGTTGCTAAAATTAGAGACAAGTTTTGAACACCAAACAATATTATATGATAAAGCATTTATTAATGAATCACCCTGTGTATATTATGAACATATTATATAAAATCGAAAAAGGATGTACATATATTCTATGATCTATGTAGGATTTTTGTTATTTGTTTTTTTGATTTTCTTAAATTTTTATATTTTCTATTTGCAATTTAAATTTTTCATTATAATATCAAAAATTTAAATGGATTTTCCTAAATTTTTTATATAATATATTTTCCATGAAAAACCTACATTTTTTTATTTTATTATTTTTTTTTTTTTTTACTTTGATTTTTTTTTTTTTTAAGAAAACATTAACTATACATTGTGATTTTTTTTTGTTTTACTATTTGATTTCTATTTATTTTTTTCCATTAATATTTTTTATATTTTTTTATAATATTTACATATATATATATATATGTATATGTGGAATACTAATCCGTTATTGTATATATACATTTAAGGATATATATATATATATAATATAACATTTAATTTAAGGCTTTAATATTCGAGTTTTTTTTTTCCTTATATAGCACATAATATAGGAAATTCATTAAACTGGAATAATATTTTTTTTATTAAAAATGGGTAACTAATAATATCCTGATAATATTAAATGTATTAAACTAAGATTTAATATTTATATATAATGAATATGAGTTTGTTATAAATGCGGACTTAAAATTCTTACATTTTGTTTTAACTTAAATGTGAATAATTTTTTTAATATGAATTATGTACTAATTATAATTAGCACTCATCATTGCATTAAATGCAAATCATTTGTAATATTTTTAAATATTATTAAATATAGGAAAATCCATAATGTTGAATTAATGAAAATATATTTAGGAAAATTACGAGAAGCTGGTTTTAAAAATTGAATAGTGAAGTTACATCGTGAGCTTAATGCTACAAACTATAGATAACTCCCAATTATTGGTTTAAAGATTTCGCAGTAAAAAATAATTTATCATGAAGATATCTAGTTTCGATATTATCATTTTCAGATATTTAAGAATACTTTTAAACTTAGATATTGATCGCAGATGAAAGAGCATTCGATTTTATAACGTCTAGATTAATTATCTAAAAATATAAAATTTTCGAGTTATCTAGTTGTTGCAATTAACCTCACGACACAGAATTTAATTATGTATAATGACACAGAAAATATTGTCTATAATAATTTTGGTTGTGCGAAATTAATTTTGTGAATATTTCCTAATGTGTTAAAATTTTGTTTCCAATTACAAACATATTTACCTAAATATTTTATGAGTTTAATAAGTGAAATGTAAAATTCTAGCATTGAAATAATTTTTAAATTGCGTAAAACAAAAAATTCCGAATATTATTGTGAAACAAGAACATGTTCGCATGATATAACAAAAAAACTAATGCCTTTCTAAAGCATATAAAAAAAAAATTTAGCTCAAATGAAACTCAAAAATATTTTATTTTTTTTAACTCAAATTTTTTCTCAGTGTACCAAGATTGATTGATTTTGAAAACAATTATACTTGCTATAACTTTAAAATATGTTTTAATATTGGTACACTGAGAAAAAAAAATAAGTTAATTTACATTTTAATCATTTTAAAATTATTTTGTACCCCATTCATAATATCCAAAATTTTATTGAATTCCTATAATGTTAATTTTCATAAATTTCTTTTTTTTTTTATACACAAAATTAATTTTATTTATAAATATTTGTGTGTATGTGTATGATTAAATGTACATGTATTTTAATAATTATATGTAAATTTTTGCTTTTTCATATACATAAGGTTTACTTTTTTAGATTTTCAATTTTGTATCTTTTTTTTTTTGTTTTATTTTATTTTCTTTTTTTATTTTAATTTACAATTATTGGTTGCACTATTTTTGTTTTTTTACAATTTTTATATTTTATTTTTCTATTTTCAATTAATTTTTTTTTATATACCTATTTATTTTTGATTTTATTGCGTCGTTTGTTTTTTTTACATATTTTCAATTTTGTTTCTTTGTTACTGCATTCATACGGTACGTATGGGTGAAAAATTCACTTTTGTTAAGGTGTTTGTGTCTGAATCGTTTGTTTTTGTTTTAAATTGTCCATTTCTCTGGTGTTTTGAAGGAAAATTGACAAATAAAGCCTAAGGTTTGGTATATTAGTGAAAATTTGCAGTAACAATTAACGAAATTTGTTAAGAGTTGATTATTCTCTGAAAGGCTTTTTTCTGTTGGATTTTTTGGAATCCTTTTGAAAGATGAAAAATGTGAAAGAAAATTGATTAGAATTTATTGAAATTTTTTTATTTTTTTTTTTTTTGTCGAATTTAAAAAAATTTGTTTAAAACTTGAAGTACTATATTAGTTTCCATTCTGGCCGCAATTTCGGGTTCCTCCAATGGGTATTTAAAATGTATTTAATTAATATAAAAATTATTTTATTTAAAACAACAATTTTTTTTTATTTTAAAATGACAATTATAGTATTTAATTGGAATAGCACTCACTAATTTTAAAATAAGTGAGCTAAGCATATAAAATATTAAATTCGACATTAAAAATTGATATAAATGGATAATTTGCTTAAAAAATTTCGGTAACCTAATCAAATCTGTCACATTTAAAGTCCTTCATTTAAAAAGGATCGCATAAACTCTTTATTTTTATTAATTATTTTTTTTTATATATTGAAATATAATTTTAACAGGAATGCTAAAATTATTTTCAAATATTTATTCATTCTTTAATTTTCTCATATTTTACAATATCTTAAAAAATTATTTACATGTTTTTTTTCATAGCTTAAATGCATAGAACTCCAAATTTTAATTTTAAATTTGACTTGGAACTTATTTGCAAAAATATTTTAAATTTCTAACATTTTTTTTTGTATAAAAAACATGGTGATTAAATAAAATTATTTTAATTTTTTTTAAAATATTGTAAAAATATATTTTGTTTTTTTGTTATAACGCGCATTTCTAATTAATTCTGTTTAAAATTATTTTATGAATAAAAATAAATAACAAAATTATAATTAGTATTAAAAAATATTTAATTATTATTATTAGACAATAAAATAAAAATCAATATGTTTGTGTGTGTGTGTGTGAGTGAATGTTTTGCTTCTGTGTGCTATTTTTTCCTTATTTTTTTTTTTTCTGTTTTTATTTTTTTGTTTTAAATAATTTGTTTTGTTGTTTTGTAATTTTATATATATTTCGAAATATAACGTCTTCCTATTATTCTTCCAGATTTTTTTCTAACCCAAAATTTAAACAATCGCTAATCAGAGAAGTTTGATGTCTGAAGTGGAACCCGAGGATAAAGCTATAAATAGAAAAAATTAGTAATTATTAATAAAGTTATAAAAAATATAAAAAAAAAAAATTTATTTGAAAAAATCTTTAATTTTTAAATTAAAAATTCATTTGACATATGAACAAAATTCAGAGCATTTGTTTACTCGAAATTTAAAAAACACTAAGTTAACCCTTTAACGACCCGGTTTTCGAATAGCTAAATAGTTTACTCGTACATATATGTATACCAGTCGAGTCGAAAAGGTTAAGTAAATTTAAATGATATACATGGTGCCTCGTATCGAAGTGTACTGTTATATACTATTGTGTAGGTCCTCATGAGTAGACAAAACTTTTATATGAAAATGTTGATGTCACAGCTCAATAGGTTTGATGACAAATTTTTTCCCTTTTTGAAATTATAAGTATATAAATCGTTGTCGGTGTAAGACAGTCGCATTATTTAATATGATTTGAAAACCATAGATTTCAGATTTCGGAATCATATGATTTTAAAGTTCGAAAAATTTGAAATTTTAATTTTTCATTATTACAGAAATGTTAATTTTCTAGGTGATGTAAAATTGGAGCTTTTTGAAATTTTAGGACAGCAGGCAACCTTGTAAGCTGACCTTCAATTTAGTATATGATACATCATGCTACATGATTTGGTTAAAGAGGTATTGAGAAAAATAGAGTACTGCAAATATTATTTTATACCAAAAGTTTTTCTTCAATCATTTAGAAAAACATACAACAGGCATTTGGACAAACAAACAACAGGTGTTTCTATGTAAGTTAAGCAAATGTTCTATTTAACAATCGAGTTTTCCACACAGTTGCAAAAATGAATAGCCCGGAGATACGCGACTTTGCATTGATACAACCATATAAATCGAAAAGCCTAAAACTCTGAATTTGGAGGAGGGAGAAATCAAGGTCGATTCTTTCAAACACTGTCCCAACAACATTGTTTACTTCATTGTCCCAATCGATATGAAGGGAGTATACGTGAAATTACCGACCCGAAGACAGTATATAATTCCAAATAACAATTATAAAGAAAAAGACTGAATGAAAACAGACATAATTAGTATTCGAGAGTTCGTGGTGATAAAAATGAAGGCAGAAGGCAGTTATAGCAAAATCCCTCATAGGAACTACAAGAGGTAGAAAATTACAATCCCTCAGGTTGGTTAGGCCTTTATTTTTATGCAATGAAAGTTATATATGCTGGGAATTATATATTTGAAGACAATCGAACGTAAATCTGTATTTAGTTCTTTATTAACCTTTACCATACAGTTTCCAAAACAAAAATTATAACTAAACTTCTTTAATGAAATTCTCAAAGTTTCTTATTTAAAGAGATTTTCGTTTCTTTTTGTTTTTATAATATCCTTGAGAATAATAATATTTTATCCAAACTTTTAATTTATTTATAAAATCCAGTTACCTAAGTAATGAGATTTAACCAATATTTAAAAAAAAAAAATAATTTTTGTTAAAAGAGAAAAAGAGAGAGAATGAAATTTAATATGTATAAAACTTCTTATTTTTTTTTTTTAATTTTAAAAATAATATTAAAATTTAAATTTAAAAAGGATATCAACTTTATATTTTCCATGAATAGACATTATTTATTTTATCCTTTTTGAATTTATTACAATAATTTAAATGGGGAAAGAAAACTTTAATAAGGAATTTTTTTGTGGTCGATGCATCCATGCTATTAATGTAAATTGTATAGTTAAAAATTTTATAAAGTAATTTTGTTTGCTCCTTTGTTCTGTTGAAAATTTAAATGATACTCTTTATGCCATAAAAGAAAAAAATATTCTCGATAATATTCTTTTGACATCAGGACAGTTAACATTAACAACAGTGTTGTGGCAACTATTATTGTAAGTGTAATCACGAAAAAATCTTTGTGGATATTAAATTTTATATAATAAAGGTTCAATTATAATTAAAGTGAATGTTGTAAAAATTTAATACCTTACTTTGGTGTCATTACATTTTTTTGGGTTTTTTAATGAAAAAGAGAAAATTATGATATTAAATATGATTGTTTATAAGAGTTTGTAATAACTTGTATAACAGTATTGAGTTTTTAAAATATTATGCAGTGGGTTCAAATTATGTGATAGTTTTAAAATGCGATTGTAGTAGAGTACTATTACTAAAAAGTAGTAAATAAGTTTCTGAACAGATCACAGAACACGGTACAGAAATATTAAAAGAATTGATGTTATTAACATTTTGTGATAAGGAACAATACGGTTATAATTGCAACGACCAATATATTTAGCATTGGAATCATACTTGGCTTCAGAAGTTTCTACAAAAAGATTCAATAAAAAAAATATGAGAAATTTTGCCGAATGTTATGTGGAAATTTTGGAATGAAAAGATTTTGTGATTTTTAGAAAGTTTGTTCCCGCCAATAAATAATTTCCAAGGTTTCGGTGATAGTTATTCCAATTATAAAAATATAAAACTTGTAACCTTATATGGATCGATTTTCTATAACTAAATTTAAACTACAGTAAATGACTTAGTAAATGAACATTTTTTTAAATAAACGCACAAATTGCGAGGTATAGAAGGGGTTCATAAACCGGGCAACAAAATTAAAGTATTCAAAATTTTGAATGTAATGGCATACTCTTTGTTAATTACCTTTACTCACATTTAGGGAATATAAGTTAAATTTTTAATTATAAAAATTATTTTTGAATAGAATTTTTAGAAATAAATCTTTATTTCATATACTGCTAAATATTAATATTGGACACTTCTAAATGCCTTCTTTTAAGACAATTATGAACTCATTTATTCTGTGATTGAAATTATTTGAAAATTCGTCATTATTACGTCATAAAGCAAGTATTTCCTACCATTTTAACATAATCAATATGGAAATAATAAAGCCTCCCCAAAATTTTTATTTATAAATTGTAAAAAAATTTTAGGAAATTCTATTGGCAATTGAACAATTATTGAAAAAGTGTTAAAAACAGTTAAAGTACATTTAAAACCGGAGTCAAGTGGTTTCCAAAAATAAATATACCATGAATGTAATTAATTTGAATAGCAATTAAAATAAGTAGATTAATTCTGCTACATTTGGTAACTGATATGGTTGATTAATTTCATATTGTTTTTTTTTAACCTTATAATTACGAGTATATTATGTACACATACATATAATCCGATTATAATTTATGAGCTTAAAATCACAAAAGTGATGATAAATATGCAATAATTTATTTAGGGGTAAATAACTCATACTTTTACTTTTACGCTAATTTAATTTTGATTTTTACTGTAATAAGCTTGTGACAGTATTTTTTTTTCATACTCTTTAAAATTGATTAAATAGCTAGTTTTGTTTTCTCTTAATTAAATTAAAAAAGTAGGCAAGAATTAGAGCAGCCTATTTAGTAGATCGCTGTCTCAAAGGTGATTAATAATATTGTTTAAATGAAAATTTCATTTATTAATTTAATAAAATAAAATTTATTGCAAAAATGGATTATAAATTAAACATTATGCTTGTATTTAAGAATAATTATTATATTTAATTCATTATTTTATTAAAGCTTTTGGAGACTGGAAGGTAATGCTATCTGCTGGATTACTTGCTTTCAATTATTTAGTTTTAATTAAATTTAAATAAGTTTACGGGCTGTTTAATCCATTTTATAAGGTACCCGAAATAATTCATAAATATTATGTGAATTTATCGAAGATGATTTGAATAATAGAATTTTTTTTGGGAAAATCAAGAATATCGTGATTTTATCATTTATATTGAATTTTTAATTTTATTATACAATACAGTCGAACACGCTTAATATCACATAGAAAAATTTGTGAAATTAAGCGAGCTTATAAAATATTTTTACTGTGAAAATAGCTGAAAACGTTTCTAAAATTCGTTTCTGAAAAGAATAGCTGATAGAGAGAACAATTGAAAACAATGATAATTATAAATCTCAATTGACAAGTACATTTTAGAATAAAATTTAGAAATAACATTTTGGAATAAAAAATAAGAAGTTCACATTTAATAGTTTTGTTAAGAATATTGCCAACAGATGTCATAAAAAAAATATTTACATTTTTTTTTTAATTATGTATTAAGAATTGTTCCTTTGGATTTTTTTTTGCCCAAATTTTAATTTTGTGATTTTAAGCGAGCGAAATTCAATGAAATTAGATATTTTGATATCGAGAATTACGTGATTTTAAGAAAGTTTCTATTAGGCGAGTTTCCTAGTTCGAGTACGTGCAAAAGTACATGGAGATTTTTGTTGTCAAAAAATTTTGTGAATTTAATCGCGTTTTGATAATAAACAGGGGTGACATTTGGCTATAATACTAATGCTATTTATTTCTAATAAATTTAAGTAATTGTCTCTGATACATATATCCCTTTCTAAATGTATTATTCTTAATCTTAAAGTATACTTTTCTTACAACATTATCAAAATTAGCAACTGTAACACTCCTAATTAACAATAGTTCCATAAAAGTATGCAATCAATTAATTTCATTAATAATTTCATTTCAATTTTTTAAGTAGTTATAGCTATTGCTTTTCTTTAATTTTTCTCCCATTTCCTCACAGCGGAGCAAAAAGAATGAAATTTACTAAATTTTAATTGGATGGCATTCGATTTTAATATTTTATAACAATTAGTTACTAAAATATTGCTTTCTTAAATTCAACTAGTTAACAATAATTAACTGTTATCTACGATTCTACGAACTCTTCCTGAAATTCATTAGAATATTCAAAATATTTTTAAATTTTGAATAAAAATTTCACCTTCAAGAATGAAAAATAAAAAATGTTCTTACGTAATTACAAGTTATGATTACACTTTTTTATAAAAAACAAAAACCAAACATTTTTATTAAAAAGTAAGAAAAGAAAATTTTAGAAAATTGATAAGGAAAGAAAGCAAACTAGAAATAATTATTTTTAAAATCATAAATTTCAATAATGCAAAAATAATA